ATATGAATACCACATGATTACTATTAAAAATGATCTACGGACACCCTACCCTTAATATACTCAATTCGACAGACTGAAAACTCGCGATTGTGGAATTAGATATTACCTTTCACACTGGTGACTTACGGGAATTTGGTAGAGAGATACTTACGATTGGTTATTCGACCCTGTTAATCCAATACATGGACTTAAAGTTTACACCATCGCTTCACTGAGATTTCCCTAACAGCATCCCCAGTCTCATTATCACCCTATTAATATTAAAACCTTCGTATCATAGCGTCATATTGTCTCAATATACTCCAACGGCTATAAAAGACTCCCTTCGTTTCTCTTAAGTTTATCTTTATCTCTCCCGTACATCATTGAAGGCAAATTGGCATATATCCACATAATCTTATCAAGCTACGGTCACAGTAGCATTATTTATTAGCAGCTAAACTTGTTCAGTAAAACCAATCTAGGGATGAATCAGATTGGTTTAACAAAGATGCTATATGGGATCTTTGCTAGCAAAATGTCCCTATGAGCCATTGTTACACACAATTTTTATGAAGAAAAACATAATAAATCTATTTTTAGAAAAAAAAATCCTAGCAAAGATCCCGATTCCCCAATATGCAAATTCAAAATTTTTAATTTATCAATCAGCCTAGTTAAAATATAAAGAATGCCTATTTACACCATGAAAATTGTTATTTTACCATGGGTCACAATCTATTATGTGGCTGAAAAACATGATAGAATTAAAATATAGAATTAAAAAATACAATTCAGTGTTCAATAAGCATGAAATAAATCATTAATAATTCATTTATACAGTATACTTTAATTAGCATTTTGTTGTAAACTTCTATTTTCTTATTAGCATATCTGTCTTATTTCTCAAGGGATCTATGAAGCAAAAATATTTCAACACATTCAGTTCATCCTACTGTGTTCATTTTCACAGATAGAAAATAATTCAAATCTATCAGAAAACAATGAATAATTTCATCCGATTCTTTCCCATCTTAGGTTTCTTTTTCTTTTCATCACTAGTATTTTCGCTGCCTGTGATTACAATGTTGGGAATTACAAATGCCCTAAGAATGCCCTCCAAGGTCAATATTGTGGTGCCACGCACGCGCTAGGAGATTTAAGTCTGTTGCTTCATATATTTAGTTAGTTTTTTTCTATTTATGAACTTGCTTTTACTTTAATATACTTATTAATGCATCAGTAAACCTAAATGGTGGAGGTTGTAAGCATAGTCCTTGTACTAATGATTGTTGTGCAAATGTTCTTGTGATTAATGAGTTCTGCTGCCCGGATAAAGAATGTAAAAATTGTAAAGACCAAGTATTGCATTAAATAATGTAAACATCATATTTATTAACTTTATAAGTTGTCATAAAAATTTAAGATTTTTTGCACATGTAATCACAATAATGTTATAAGAAATAGTCTTCTATATTTTAATAAATGATATCACTTACAATATTTAGCATGAATAAAGGTAAATGATATCCCTTGTAAATAAAATCAATACGACAATGCACTTAATAAAGAAAATAAAATAGCATGTGAGTTGTTGCATAAAAATCCATGCTTGAATATATATATTTTATATGTTCTAAGCATGAATTTGTTTATTTTAAATGAAAAAATGAGTCAATCAAGTGATATCAAACCAATAAAGATAAAACCAGATCTGATAAAGCAAACAAGAAAAAGTGAAAAATATAAAAACAACAGTAAAATCCGTCTTGAAAGTATGAATAAAAATGTCTGGAAGGAAATTTTACTTATATAAATACACCTGACTAAAGTTAATTGAATAAAATATTATATAAATTTCTTCCACTTAGACATCTCTTATATTAAGCAATACTTTCTTTTGATAAGAAATCATATATAACACTAAAATACTAGCACACTAAAACACTAAATCACAAAGTGTATCATTTTGGATACCTATTGTACAACAAAATTGAACGATGCACTATTAAAAGTTTTCTTTTTTTAATAGCGTTTAAATGTAGAATATATTTATTTGATTGTTAGCTTATATGAATAATTGCATATATTAAGTATTAGTATCATGTATCATGCCTAATGCGATTACTAAATGCCATAAATAGTAAAGGTAGGTATATGAAAATAAAGTTGAATACTATAATAAAGAATTCTGTTGTTTTACAATCAGAATAATTTTAAAGTGAATAACTATATATTTGATTTTGTGAGCAAAGCGCACACCAAATAATTATGATACGACAGGGTGAAATCCGCGATAATTTTTGATAAAACCCGCGATAAATAAGTAAAACCTGCGATAGATAAGTAAACCCGCGATGGATATATAAAACCCGCGATGGATATGTAAAACCCGCGATGGATATATAAAATCTGCAATAAATATGTGAAACTCACAATAGCCATGTAAAACTATGATGGCTATGTAAAATTTGCAATAGTCATGTAAAACCCGCAATTACACGACTACATATTATGAAACCTCATAGTTTAGTAATTATGGTCCTTTAATAAATCTCTTTTATACAAGTAATTTATAGGGAAAAATCAGATTATTGAATTAATCTTTCAATTAATACTGCAATTTTAGTAATTGCTATCAATATAGCGCAGGATCTTTTATAAAATTATGAAAATGCTTTTGAATACTACATGATATCTGCTGAAAGTGGACAAGTTAATGCTATTACCCTATAAAAAATGTTGATCTGTGTTTATTATTCCATGTTTTTTCCATGAATGTTTCGTTTTCACGGAATTTATAACCTTAAATCATAGAAATTTTCACCTCCCTAACACGGATATCCGTAAATGTATCATTTTTATGGAATTTTTACGGAGGCCATGGAGAAATAATGGAAATATTCAGATAAAAATTTTTTATAGGGTGAAAAACGACTAGACTATTGTTGGTCTAAAATTAAACAGAATTAGATTAATTCGTACAAAACGTTATGACTAGAAAATAGTGTAATCTAATTTTTGTGTCTTGGTGTGAAATGAAAATACAGTATTTACGTACATATGTTTAACAGTTATCTTTCATCATTTGGTAGGGGAATATGGTATTAGAAGGTTCAAAAAAGTAGCGTTAGTTTAAATTGAAGCAGCTTTTCCTGCATTATATGTGTTAGCACTAGTTTTCTAGATGTATATAAAGGCCAAATTTTTAATTTTTAATATATACTTTATATAATCATTGCTATTATATAGTCATTGCGAGATTTGTATAGTTATTGTGAATTTATATAGTCGTCGTGGTTTTACATGACTATTGTGGGTTTCACATATTTATTGCGGATTTACATATCTATCGCAGGTTTTACATTTCCATCGTGGGTTTTACATATCTATCACAGGTTTTACTTATATATAGCGGGTTTTACCAAAAATTATCGCGAATTTCACCCTGTCATATTATGATCACTACTGCTTCAATTATCATAAGGACCCAAATAAATGACAAAAACCATTCTCGAGGAATACTCAGAGTTATAAAGTATTTCTAATTCCAATTGCAGCAACTTTTGAGAAAGCAAGTTAAAATTATTCCCGCGAATTCAATTGCGATAAGACACACAAGAGCTATAATAATACTGAATTTTTTATATGATATATGACACAATGATTGACCAGGAATGAAATTGTTCGTCTAGGTTATGCACGGCATAGTCATATCCAATATATAAATGAACCCATTGGTCTCAACCGATGGACTCACATCGTTAGTAATATTTCCTTCTAAGAAAAAGACAAATATTAATTTTATTAAAATCAATAAATATATGCATATAACAAATAATAATGATTATAGTATGATAATTACCATAGGCAACTATTATATAATTTTGATAGGAAGTTACGGAATGATAGGCCAATGGTGGTGCCTTGGCACCCGAAGTGCCTGGAACATTAAGTTCAGAATATGTATAAGGCTTTTTTGAAATATCTAACAAAACCATAACTGGTTTTGCTGTGGTTTCATTCTGCACATAACCTACAAATAAATAAATAATTAGTATAATTAATACAAAATTTATTTAAATTTTTTTTTATTGATATTTACTTGAAGTCCTGCCAATTATGATAATTGACGTATTGTCTGGTGTCAAGGTGGCCGAATGGCCTGTTCGAGGTTGAATATAAGTTGACCCAAATTCCACTTGCTATAAATATAACAATTATATTGTTAGAAAAAAAATCCAATAAATAGTTACTAAGAAAAAAGCCATATACATACTTCAGTCGACCAGGTTGAAGAATTTGTATCGAATACTGGGATCTGTTATAAGAGTTTATAAATAAATTTTTGTTGACATATAAAGAAAAATAATTGTCTCAAAAATATAATACTTAGTACTTCCGAAAATTTGACATAAAAATAACTTACAATTTTCATATCTATTGGTGTTGCATCTTCTCCAGGAGTAGTCTGACTAATACCACCGATGTAAAGGATCTTGCCATCTGGAAGTAATACTGCTGCGCTATGACTTCGAGGTGTAGGAACATTACTGGCATTAATCTTATTCAATCTTGACAAAACAGTGTCATAAGTGTATAGATCGTTAAAGCAAATAAATGTGGGTGAGCCCGTATCTATTCAGCACGCCCACCAAATATATACATAATTCCTTTCGATATGACCGTTGAAGTTGATCTTCGTCTAATTGTTGGTGCACCAATATTCGCAACAGACTCAGGACTCATCCAAATTCGTGCAGTTGGTCGGTAAATAAAAATTGTTTGATTTGTTAAATTCCAAGTTTTAAATAATTTATCATTAATGTCTGATTTGAAGTTGTTATTGCATTATGATCTATCTGATCAAGTAGGGTAAGATTTTGTTGTACGCCTCCCACAAGATGTATTTCATCATTAGAAGGTCCACCAACTAAGGCAGTTGCTAATATACGTATTAAATAATTTAAGTATAATTAAAATTATGTTATAATTACAAAATTAGCTGAGAAAATAAAGAGCTAACATTTTTCATTTCCATATTGCAATCGCGCAGAAGTCCCACTAAGGTCTACGTACGGTGGACTTGTTGTAGAGAATGATGATGCAAGATCCAAGTAAAAAATTTCATTCGACAAGTTATAACCTCGTATAGAACTTTTGAATGGACTTGCATTTGGTATCGCACGGGAGCCGCCCATAAAATATATTGTATTTTTAAGTAAGACAGCTTCATGACCTCCTAGGCCTTCAGGGGTAAAACCTTCGTTTTAAAAGTCATACATACAAAAATATGTATGAACATTATAGTTTCGATTAAATATTTTACTCTTAGCCTCCAAAGGAAATGCATGATCAATGAATATTAATAATATTGAACCAATAAATCTAAGTATGAACCTTTTAATTTATAATCGATGTTCGCGTTAATTTTATTACAATTTAAAAGGAGATTCAAAGATATTTGGTTAATATGAAAAAAATCCAGTTGGTGCACCTTTTATTGTTGACTGAAGTTAAGTCAGAGAATCAGGTAAATACACGGAAATTGTACACCGAAAGTTTTTGATCTTTACGTTATTATATAATCTTTATATTAATAACATTTCGGGATATATTTTCGAAAGTATTGTACTCATGTGTGCTTGTGCACAAAATATTTGAATAACGCCTTATACAATATATTCAGATTTGGCACGAATAAATATTTATAATATTAAGCTTGTCATTTGGACCATTTAAATTCTATTAGGTAGTTAAATATTTCTTTAGTTTTCAAAAAAAATTAATACTAAATAAGATAGGTGGCGCAAATGCGCACTAGTAATATATAAAAAAATTTAAATTTCTTGAGTATTTGACATTATATTCGCAACTTAATCATTTCTTACTAATCAATATAATTATGTAAAAAGCTCTCTCAGCATTGTATTTTTAACCTTATTATATCAATAAAATTATGTTTAGTTTTTACAATTATCACAATTTTAGCTTAATTTGAAAAACTATTTTAGTGGTATATAAAACCTAATATTGTAAAATTATTACAAATCAGTTATGCTTAATTTAATTTGTATTTTTTCTTTTTCTTTTCTTGCTTTTGTTTCTTTTATCAGTTTCTCCAACTACTGAACTACAACAATCAAAAACTTTTACATTATTCTCAGCTGCAGATCTTCTTCCCACATCCTGAAGTATACGTTTTGTCTTGGATGTATTTTTACTTTCTACCAATGATATAGTCTTCTTGACTATTGCTTTTGCTTTCAACATTAAAGCCAAGATTTCCAAATTTTCCCCAAAATTTTCAACTTCTTCTGCTAAATGATATAGTGGAGACCTTGTAATATGGCATGTATAACCTTTTGGACTGTCAAGTCTCATTAACATAACTGATAATTCTAAAAAAAATCAAAATAATGTTAGAATATAAATATGAATTAAAATATACTATAGATAGAAACATAAATTAAAATATACTGCTGTATAAATACAAACCTGCATGGATCTAACCAATGATTTCAAATTGCCTAATTTTCGTCTCATCCCATTTTACTACATTTCCAAGCTCCACGAACATGTCTTTCATTAATTTAGGACATTTCAATCCCCTTTCTTTAAGAATTTTTGTATCATTAATTTCATTAAACTTTCTACCAACTTCGGCACAGCCATATTCATGGTTGTTTTTTCAGATCAAATATAGTATAGCTTACCCCTTAATAAAATCTTTAAAATTTTTAAATTAATTACTATATATTATAATATAAT